TCCATTCAACCGAAAATTAAATCGCGTTTGTTCTTCACGAGGTTCTCCGAGTAGTAGGCCTATCTCTAGAACTGAATCGAAATCTTCGCGTAAAAAATTCTTGTTCAGCAGCGATACAAGAGATGATCTCACTGGTCAGTCATCAGGAAATAGCACAGGTACTGCAAACAACGTGGATATAAATACTGATTCTGACGATGTACTAAGTAAGATCAACATCGACGGTTTGAAAACGTGCGAAGGGCGTTCGTCACTTAAATTAAAAGTGGTTTTAGTTCATCCGAATGGGAATGTTGTGACCCGAAACCCTACAAACGAAAAGACAGACCAAATAATTAGAAATCTTGTTGTTGGTGGCTGGACTGATGTCGCAAATGCACACGTTTTCAAACCGTCGATGTTGAGCACTTGAGCTTACTTTTATATAGTACATCATCAGAATCAGTATTTACATCCATGCACGTTAATTGTTTGCAGTATCCTGTGCTATTTCCTGACGACTGCTCGGTGAGATCATCACTTGTATCGCTGCTGAACAAGAAAAAATAGCCACGATGTTCAACAGTTCAAGATTAGAAAGCTGTTAAGATTAGAAAGTTGATAAGTATCAAGATTAGAAAGTTGATAAGCAATAATATTGAATTCAACAAATACTACGGTTTTTCACTGTCTTGGTATTGACCAATCAGGTGATCGTATTCACCGTTCATAATCTGAAAGGCGTGTAGTCGTGAAAGGTCGGCTTTCCTGCAGGCCTTCAATTCTCCCCCGTGCCCGCCAAAATCCTGCCCGTTGCAAATCAGGCCCCCCATAAAACTGAGGGCCTGCCACGCAGGCTAGTATCTTTATAGAAACCACTGTCCCTGTAAATAAATGTTAGTTGGTTTCAAGCATTGGAGTGTCAAATAGAGGTCCATACCTTTCCGTCGATTTTATCTGATGGTACCTTTCCTACCCAATTTCTGAACAGCTTGGGATTGACAAGATCAAGGAACCCAAAGCTTTGAATATCTTTAAATCTTTCATTTAACATCCCTACAATTGTGTCTATAACTTGAAAATACAATTGCTTATAATTAACATTCAGGTCAATTCTAGTAACAGGGGCTCCTGCCTTGTCGACAGCTCTTTGATTCTACATCATTTCGAATCGAGCCCAGAAATGACTTGAAGTTTTTCACTTTACGCATGCCATAGTTGAAGTCGGTCTCCCTCCCCTGCAGAATTGCATAAAGTATGCTGGATTGCTCAAAAATTCTATAAAAAAGACAGAGCAGGAAACAAAACGAAAAACGGTCAAGATGCCCCAATAAGCCAATTATCAGACGTATGGAATCATCATCCCAGCCGGATGGATCATCATTAACCATCTTTAAAATACCATGAAGATGTTGGTAATTCTTAAAAATAACATCAATGGTACGAGCTCTATAGTACAATCTGGTTTCACCTGGACTGGGGATCTCGATGTTGTTGGCGGTAAAGAAAGCTTTTCCATGTGGGCTGCTAGTTGAAAATGTACTAAAATAACCAACATTAGCAAAAAAATACCTTAACATGGGATATAGATGATACGGCTTGACTTAAAAGAAGATTCAACCTATGAGTTGCACAATGAACCAAAGTAAGCAAAAGGATACTGTTGACGCATTAGTGTCTGAACACCACCAATATGACCGGACATGACTGAAGCACCATCGTATGTTTGCATAATTAATTTGTTGTTAGTAATACCAGTATACTGATCTAAAATACCTTTAATAACCCCAGCTAAAGTGGCAGCAATTCTATCAGTACTTACATCAACAAATTTTAAAAATCTTGTGGGAAATTATATTTTAAGTTTATATATCCGTGAAAATATGAACTAATTATTTCTGATGTGTTAGGGAGCAGTCATTATTAATGCCCGGGGGAGAATGCCCGATGTTGAGCACTTGAGCTTACTTTTATATAGTACATCATCAGAATCAGTATTTACATCCATGCACGTTAATTGTTTGCAGTATCCTGTGCTATTTCCTGACGACTGCTCGGTGAGATCATCACTTGTATCGCTGCTGAACAAGAAAAAATAGCCACGATGTTCAACAGTTCAAGATTAGAAAGCTGTTAAGATTAGAAAGTTGATAAGTATCAAGATTAGAAAGTTGATAAGCAATAATATTGAATTCAACAAATACTACGGTTTTTCACTGTCTTGGTATTGACCAATCAGGTGATCGTATTCACCGTTCATAATCTGAAAGGCGTGTAGTCGTGAAAGGTCGGCTTTCCTGCAGGCCCTCAATTCTCCCCCGTGCCCGCCAAAATCCTGCCCGTTGCAAATCAGGCCCCCCATAAAACTGAGGGCCTGCCACGCAGGCTAGTATCTTTATAGAAACCACTGTCCCTGTAAATAAATGTTAGTTGGTTTCAAGCATTGGAGTGTCAAATAGAGGTCCATACCTTTCCGTCGATTTTATCTGATGGTACCTTTCCTACCCAATTTCTGAACAGCTTGGGATTGACAAGATCAAGGAACCCAAAGCTTTGAATATCTTTAAATCTTTCATTTAACATCCCTACAATTGTGTCTATAACTTGAAAATACAATTGCTTATAATTAACATTCAGGTCAATTCTAGTAACAGGGGCTCCTGCCTTGTCGACAGCTCTTTGATTCTACATCATTTCGAATCGAGCCCAGAAATGACTTGAAGTTTTCCACTTTACGCATGCCATAGTTGAAGTCGGTCTCCCTCCCCTGCAGAATTGCATAAAGTATGCTGGATTGCTCAAAAATTCTATAAAAAAGACAGAGCAGGAAACAAAACGAAAAACGGTCAAGATGCCCCAATAAGCCAATTATCAGACGTATGGAATCATCATCCCAGCCGGATGGATCATCATTAACCATCTTTAAAATACCATGAAGATGTTGGTAATTCTTAAAAATAACATCAATGGTACGAGCTCTATAGTACAATCTGGTTTCACCTGGACTGGGGATCTCGATGTTGTTGGCGGTAAAGAAAGCTTTTCCATGTGGGCTGCTAGTTGAAAATGTACTAAAATAACCAACATTAGCAAAAAAATACCTTAACATGGGATATAGATGATACGGCTTGACTTAAAAGAAGATTCAACCTATGAGTTGCACAATGAACCAAAGTAAGCAAAAGGATACTGTTGACGCATTAGTGTCTGAACACCACCAATATGACCGGACATGACTGAAGCACCATCGTATGTTTGCATAATTAATTTGTTGTTAGTAATACCAGTATACTGATCTAAAATACCTTTAATAACCCCAGCTAAAGTGGCAGCAATTCTATCAGTACTTACATCAACAAATTTTAAAAATCTTTCAAGAATATCACTGCCACTGTCTAATCGGACAATTATACTTAACTGCTCTTTTGTTGACACATCTGTTGTTTTCATCAACTTGAACACTGAGGAAAGTGCAGTCATTTAATTCCTGTACAATCTGATCTTCAATGAGAGCAACAAGACAATGAATAAGGTCATTTTTTGTATCAGAGGATACACCAGTAAACCGACTATCCCCACCTCCCTCAGACTCGGATAATCGCCCATGCAAACGTCGTTCAAAGACAGAATCAAGTTCAGCAAAACATTCAAGCAATTCCCTATAATTACCTTTATTCGAGCTGTCATAAGATTCATCATGGCCCCTAAATGGCATCTCTTGTTTGCCTAAATACAGAACAGCATTGGTAATGCATGGTCTTTAACATTTCCCTATTCTGCCGTACCTCCTCGTTATGGCGTTTCATTTCCTATCTTCTTGCCTGTGAAATCATCACATCTACCCTCAGGTCACGAGCCTCGCGAGCAGTGAACGTTTTCCAGGTCTTCAATGCACTCATGTGTGACCTCGCTTTCTCGTGTTTTTTTTTCAGTCGGAGAGAAAACCCCGCATGTTGCTATAGCCAGTTTTCGCCCAGGTTGCAGAAGTACCAGGGCAAAACAAAAGACACGGCTAACAAAACATTTTGTGCTTGAAAATAGATCCACAAAGCCATTCTTTCTTCGAATACCTCGACATTTGAAAACCTTTCCGGATCGGGTATGTCGAAAGATCTGGCGTTGGTACCTGCTTAACAATAATATTCTGCTAAGCAATAGCACAAGCAGAAAATGGTTTTTCACCAATTGCCAAACAATATCGTGAACCCACAGAAGGCCCAGGTTCGATTTGCCCGCGCCGGCCTGTGCCTTCCTTATAACGAGGGAAGGAAGGAAACGTTGAGACCAAAATAGCCCAGACTTGGCATATGTCACACGAAACTATCCTCGATTTTTCGCTTTTAATGCATTTCTTTCATGATTAATCGATATCCCCTGCAAGAATGATACCGTATAACTCTCAAAACAACGATGCTTTAATCAAAGAGCTTAAATTCGCTCTGAAATCGGTGAGGTAATAACAACATTCGCCCAAAATATATCCGCGTGCCGGGTTTGCTGTGCAAAAAGCGGAAGTCGTTGAACAACTCAAAATACACTCAACCCTGATTGGACAACGAATATCAACAAACATTTCAAATTATTTTAACAGTACTGTAATAATTTCAATCAAAACTATTCACAAACGTTATAAAATGTAAATATTACTGCATGTAAATATAACTGTAGTACATTAATATGTATAATAAATTGTATTTCACATTGTGTTTGTTAAAAAAATTTGAACTGTTTGTTGATATTCGTTGTTCAATCAGGGTTGAGTGTATTTTGAGTTGTTCAACGACTTCCGCTTTTTGCACAGCAAACCCGGCACGCGGATATATTTTGGCCGAATTTTGTTATTCCTTCACGGATTTCAGAGCGAATTTAAGCTCTTTGATTACAGCATCGTTGTTTTGAGAGTTGTACGGTATCATTCTTGCAGGGGATATCGATTAATCGTGAAAGAAATGCATTAAAAGCAAAAAATCGAGGATAGTTTCGTGTGACATATGCCAAGTCTGGGCTATTTTGGTCTCAATGTCTCCGTCCTTCCCTCGTTATAAGGAAGGCACAGGCGGGCGCGGGCAAATTGAGCCTGGGCCTCCTGTGATAAAACAGGCCTATAACATGCCTTAAACTCTAACCCTTAAACTCTAAGCGCGCAAAGCTTAATGGGAGCATAAGTTTCAAGTTGAATATTGCAGCTATTTGTGAATGAATTGTTGCCGTAAGGAGATATTTACCATGTATCTAAGAAATGTGCCCTAAAAGGATGATCGTTATGATTCCCGAAGTACTCTTGATTACAGGTGATTTTAATTTTCACGTTGATTGTCCAACCGAAGCAGACGCGAAAACGTTTGCGGACTTAATGAATACTTTTGGACTTATCCAACATGTTCATGTCCCAACTCATTCATGAGGTCATACCCTTGATTTGATTATCACTAGATCAATCAATGATGTCACAATCACCTCTCCTTTGGCGACGTTTGCTTTGTCTGATCATTTTTTTGTTGAATGTTTGTTGGATATTCCTCGCCCAAACATCCTAGTTAAAGAAGTTTGCTATCGCAAAGTTAAACATATTGACCTCAATGCCTTTAAAGCTGATATATGCGCCTCAGATCTATTTCAGAAAACTTGGTCAAGTGTTAATGATATGTCAAAATGCTATGATATTACCCTACGTTCTATTCTTGATAAGCATGCTCCTTTGAAATCGAAAGTTATGACTGTTCGACCAATGGTTCCTTGGTTTAATGATAGTTTAAAGAAGCTGAAAGCTAAACGTAGGAAACTGGAAAGAATCATGCTTAAATCGAAACTTGAATGTGATAAGAATGCTTATCGTAAGGTACGCGATGACTATAGTGCTATATTGAATGACACCAGAAAAATGTTTTATTCCAACCAAATTGTGAACTCTTTGAGCAAAGAACGTCTAGTTGTGGAGTTTCCTGAAAATCGCGATCCTTCCATCCTTGCTAACGAGTTTGGTGAGTTCTTTTGTAAGAAAATTGAACTCGTGAAATCAAAGATTGACGAGATTTCCATTAACCCACCTAATGTTCCATTTCATCTGCCTGAAGTGAAATTGGATGAATTTTCTTCGGTTCCTGAGGATGAAGTTCGGAGGATTCTCCTTGAATCTTCGAATGCTTCCAGTAAGTTGGACCCTATTCCTACATCATTGGTTAAACTCTGTTGTCATGAATTGGCCCCAATCATCGCTGAAATCATTAATCTCTCTTTCTCTGAAGGAATTGTACCCGATCATTGGAAAATAGCGCTAGTTCTACCTCTTTTGAAGAAATTTGGGCTTGATTTTATGTTTGAAAACTTCAGACCTATAAGCAACCTGCCATTTGTTGCCAAGTCTGCTGAGAAGGCAACGATCTCTCAGTTATCTATACATTGTGCTGAAAATGCCCCTTTTCCCGAGTATCAATCAGCGTATCGGAAAAATCACTCAACAGAAACAGTTTACTAAAAGTCCAGAACGACATTCTCCTCAGTATGGATCGCCTTGGCCCTGTACGCTTCTTGTGCTTATCGACCTAAGTGCCGCATTCGATACTATCGACCATGCTATCTTACTGGAGACACTTGAAAAAGACTTTGGCGTAACTGGAAATGCCCTCAAATGGCTAACATCTTATTTATCCGACAGAAAACAAACAATTTTAATTAAAGACCATGAATCGGAAGTTTTCAATCTTCAATCGGGAGTTCCGCAGGGTAGCTGCCTTGGCCCTGTCCTCTTCATACTCTATGTGGCTGGGTTATTTAAGGTTATTGACAAACATCTTCCCAATGCACATACGTATGCAGATGACACCCGGATTTATCATTCGTTTCGGCCGGATACATCTTTATCGCAAGATGCTGCACTAAAGAGTATTGAAAACTGTGTTGCTGACATTCGTGCCTGGATGCTTTCTAACCGTCTCTTGATAAATGATTCCAAGACTGAATTTATTATCATCGGTTCAAAGCAGCAAATGTCAAAGATTAACATCAATGAAATTACAGTTAGTGAAGGTGGTTCAAAGCCTCGGAATGTGGTTTGACTCACATATGTCGATGGATATTCACATTGGAAAAGTGTGTAGTAAGGCGTTTCGCAGCCTCTATAATATCCGGCAGATAAGGAAATTCTTTTCAGAAGATACAACAAAGATTTTGGTTTATGCTTTTGTTACTTCACACCTGGACTACTGTAACTCATTGTTTTATGGTTTCCCACAGTCTCAATATGATAGGTTACAAAGAGTTCTCAATGCTGCAGCACGTGTGGCCTGTCTAATCCCCAAATTCGATCATATTACTCCCGTTTTGATTGGCCTTCATTGGCTTCCTGTACGGTATCGGGTAATTTTCAAGATTTTGTTGCTGGTGTACAAGGCTCTTCATGCTAATGCACCGCCTTATATCTCAGACCTTCTGACACCTAAGCATATTGGTTGCTACAGCCTGCGCTCGAAAGAGCAAAATTTGCTAATAGTTCCTAAGACAATGAGGAAAACGTTTGGCGACAGAGCTTTTGCCAAGGCTGGTCCATTTTTGTGGAATGAACTTCCCGCTGACATTCGTGAAGCGTCAACAGTGGAAACTTTTAAAAGCAGACTTAAGACCTTTCTTTTTAAAAAGGCATTTTATCTTTAAATATAATAGTTAATTTGAACTTCCCGCTGAAATTCGTGAGGCGTCAACAGTGGAAACTTTTAAAAACAGACTTAAGACCTTTCTTTTTAAAAAGGCATTTTATCTTTAAATATATAATAGTAAATTTGAACTTCCCGCTGACATTCGTGAGGCGTCAACAGTGGAAATTTTTAAAAACAGACTTAAGCTTAACCTTTCTTTTTTAAAAAGGCATTTTATCTTTAAATATAATAGTAAATTTTAAACATGTATATATAGGTATCATCTCATACTTTATAACATTTTATTTGAATTTGTAATGATAGCGCTTTAGAATATTTATAGTGTTTAGCGCTTTATAAATTAATAAATAATTATTATTATTATTATTATTAACTGCTCGTCATGATGTGGTTCGTACACTTTGTTCTTAGAATGACGTCAGTTAGGAGAGCCCTTCCACTGAACTTGGACATATAGTACTGCCATTTTTACGTTGTTTGCTGGCAGTCAACGTCACGTAACTCACGTTGACCTTACTCAACGTTACGTGACTTACATCTAACCAAGTCGACGTTAATATCATGATTTTTTCGCGAACAAATATACAGAAGGCATTTTATACAAAATATTTTCCTTTGTCGATATATGTAAAAATCAGTAAAATCCCCTAGCGACTGTGAAAGTTTGCAGCATGATATTTCGAACTTGAACAATTGGAGTCATAACTCTAACATGAAATTTAACGCCTCCAAGTGTTAAACAGAGGCGTAGCTAGCGGTCCCGCTGTCCCGCCGGGCGGGACTAACAATTTCCAAAAAAATGAGTAAATGTCTTATAGTGAACCCGAAATCACAGCTTTGCTTATTTTGAAAATTTAAATATTAATTATGATCATTTTTCAGTGTTTTCATTTGTCATTTATTTAAAGTTTACGCAATATTGCTGTCTGCTCTTTGACCTCTTTGCTGTCTAGTAACTGATACCCTGCAGAATTAGCTAATTTCCACGCAATTTATTGCTTACTCACGCAATTCGTGAATCGCATGTCTCGTGTTCCGCT